GGCATGCAAGTCATGTGGGTGCTGAGCCAAGTGCCAAGTGTAGGAAGTCTGCTGCTCTGAAACACCACCCCTGGCTGCAGGCCAGAGCTGGATTCCTGCTTTCATCATTGATTTCCCCTGCAAGCATAAGGCAGTGACTCACTCTTCTCACACCTCGCTTTACACAGAGCAGCAGAAGGGTGATGATGACATCTTTGTCTCGCTTGGGTGATTCAAGTGTGATGCAACCTCTTGGGACAGGGAATCTCACACTGCTCCAGCCCAACCTGTGACCTGCATAGCTGTGGCTGGCAGTTTGGCCATTGGTCTCTCCTGGCTCCAGGGATGGACTTGTCTCTACAGGGTTTTGCAGATGGGAAGGCAACCAGCCCAGTTCCTAGAAAGACCCCATTAATAGCACAGGTAAGGCTGATGTTTAACTGTAATCAAGATCCAAGCAGTTCTTGGAGCTATGGTGCCTGCAGAGCAGCAGGATCAGGACCACAGCCATAGACACGGTTGGGCCCACAAGACCTGGAGATATGGCAGCATCTTGAGGCAGAAAACCATTCCCATCCCCTGGCACTGTACCTAAACAGGCAGATGCAGTATGCACTGTTCCATGGGGATTTGGGGTGTTGAATGGTCTATTTGGGAGTGCTGGGCTCCTCGTGTCACATTGAGAAACAGCTGCCAGAAGCATTAACATTCCCAGCTGATCCTCTGGGATGGCAGAAGGCTCTGTTCTTAGTGATAGCCCGTGCACCCAGATGTGAGCACATCAGCAGCACTCAGCACACTAACAGTAAACCTGACAAGAGATAGCTCATGAGCTCAGTGCACAGGGATGCATTCATCACCCCTTCCTACTGCCTCCCTTTGTGCCCCAGCACCTCGTTGTGCCCAGTCCCTGTCCCTTGTTAACCTGGAGTTCCCACTAAAGCACAAAGGCTGTGTGCTTTTTTATTGTTTGCTTCTAAACTCCATAAACATGCCTCATTTCCCAGATGGCTGTTTTGACTGGCCAAGTGTTGCTACTATTTGGACAGCAGGGTGCTTCTTTGAAAACGTGAAGTATTTGGATGAGCTATTCTGGAGTGGTGAGCTCAGATCTGATAGCCTGGGCCACTTTTAAATCCTGTTTGCCTGGGATTTTCACACTTATCCAAGAACTCGGTGCTGAATCTAGGACATAGCAGAAAGTGCATCCAGCAGCCTCCCAGTGAGTCGGGATGAGCTGCACCCAGATCTTCACACACAGCTCTGGCTGGGAGGAAGGACCTGAGCAGCATGGAAGGAAAGTAGATGAGAACAAGGGGTATGAAGGTACAGAATGGATGATGAACTTCGGATGCTGAACTTCATCAGTTTCCCAAAAGGCCCCAGCAAGTGGAGCTGCTCAGAGCTGTTTCTCTTTTCCAGGCAGAGTAAATCAGGATGCTTCCAGATGGCAAAGGGGGAAAGGTCTCATGGGAAGACATCCATCCAGACACACACTCCAGAAAGCCACTGCTGTTGCGCAGTACAGGAAGCCAGCACAATGTGTTTGCTCCAGGCACATCTCACCGACAACCTGTGCTTCTCCTGAGCTCCCATCCCGCCCCACAGAGCTTCAATCAGCAGGTTTGTATCAATGTTTGGGTGCTCCTGGACCACGTCCTCCTGCTGCAGCAGGCTTTAGGGGTTGGGGGATCCTCTGCTCCCTGCACACAGTCTCCATTGCGGCTTTGGCCTTATTCCTTCTGCAGTAAGATTCTTGGCCCCATTCTCTCCCTGCTCATTCCATGGACCAGCAACTCTTGGCCCAAGCAGGACTGGGAGAAGAACTGAAAAAAAGTAGGGTCACTGCTTTAGAGGGTTTGCAGGTGGGATAAGCAGAAGCAGGAGGGACTGCTTGCATGTATCCCAATTAGAAACAACACAACGGGGAAGAAGAAACCACAGCAGCATTTGCAGAAACATTTCATCCCTGTAACCAGCATGGGCAGAGAACAAGAAAATCAACTCTAAAGTGTCCTCCAGGAAAGCAACATTGGCAAAATTCAGCAGAGCAGCACTTAATCTCAGCTGTACTGTGTCATTCTTGCATTCTATTTCACAGTCTTATTTTATTCTTGTTAAAAGAATAAGAATAATAATAGGATAAGGTAGGCATGGGAAAATACGAGCTAGCTGGGGGTTATTTCTGTGAACAGATGTAGAAACAGGTTTTAACACACAGTGAAAGCAGATGAGATCATAACTTTTAATAGGAACATATTTAATAAACCAAAGGCGGAGAGGAGATGATCCACTGCCTTTACCGAGAATTATTCATTACGATTTATATCAAGGAGGAAACAGCACTTTCCTAGAATCAATGCATCCTTAACAGCAGGTTAAAAAAAAACACGGGAGTAATGATTTTCTGAGCGCTCTCCTTTGATAAAAGCCATGGCAGCCCAAGGAACATCAGCCATCCTGCTCCCACTGTGCTCCCAGCCCAGCCCTGCCCTACCCTGGAGGAGCTGAGCAAGGAAGCACCAGGGCTCCTGCACCGACTTGTGCCAAGAGCAGCAACAGGACTGCAGCCCAGCCTGCTGGCACAGCTTCACCCCTGGAAAACACCAGGAGACGACGCTGGTCTCTGCCAGGGGTGACTCCCGAAGCTCTTGTGGCCCTGAGCCTTTGCATTCCTATTCAGGGAAAGAGATTCTGCATGTGGGTGAGGAGAGGCTGCCTGAAATCCTTCAGGTGGGACAGCGAGGAGAACGGATGTGCAGGCAGCAAGAGGAATTACCCCAGTGATACAGTGCATTCCTGGGACAGCCAGTGCCAGCCAGCCCTGAGCAGTGCTGATCTGTCTCAGCACAGATCTCAGTGCTTCGCTCAGCACTGTTACCTCTGGTGGGGAGAATTCTGCTGTTAGAGGCTGCTCACCGGGCAGGACCTACAGGGCCGGCATCTGCCACGCAGCATGAGTGCCCCAGGCTCATTTTTGAAGCAGCCCAGAGCAATTTCTCCATAATGTTCCATTAATGTGACAGCTAAAGCCCTGGCCTGCTGTAAAAACATCACTCCCATTTACATTAATTGCAACCATTTTCATGCAATTTGCTTCCAAATGTGACCAACCGCAGCTTCAGTGGCTGTGAGCTGATGAAGTCCCGTTGAAGTTCATCACATTTATCACCCTCCAGACAGGGTACAGTTATTACACTGGCTAAGGATGTGGCTCTTTCAAGGTACTGACCAACACCTGGACATTTTTTGCTACAGTTATTTGGTATTTGTGGAATCATAGGATGGATTGGGTTGGAAGAGACCTTAAAGATGGTGTAGTTTCAAATCCCCCACCATGGGCAAGGACATATTTCACTGGTATTTATCATGCAACCATCATCTCTTTAAACACAAATCGTTTCCATACTGGGGAAATCTTAAGAAAAAGGCATTTTTCTATGTGCCTCATTCACAGCTTAGGGTCCCTGAGGGTCCCAATCATCCTGCTGCCATTGATGCAACTTTCTCCTTGTTTCAGCCTGAAAGAAATATCCTGCAGCCTGGCCATGTAACAGCACACGGTGTCATTGGGAAAGTATTTCCCTTTCCATGCAGCTGCTGTGATCTCCCTTTCATTACTGGAAGCACTGCCGTGCCTTATGAGCCATCGTTCATCACTGGAAATGAATCTGGAATTACAACAAAACCAAAAGTCGGAGTCATGAGTCAAATGTCCTCAGCTCATTGGCTGCCTGATGGCATTGCAGCGTGAGTTAACTACAGCTGGGATTCCTTCCTGATAAAGAGCTGCATCACATGAGGCTATTGCACACACATCAGTAGTAGCCAAGGATGTCGAATGAAAACTTTCAGCTCGCACATTTAAGGATCCAAATAGTACTTTTGGAATCAGGCAAAAAAAAAAAGTATTTCCTCTCCTGAAGTTGGGATTTCTCACTCGTGGTGAGACGTGACACCAGATGCTGGTGGGAAGGAGTTTGTATCACATTCATTTCATGCTCCATGGGTGGGGACTCCACCTCTCACCCAGCTTGGTGCTGGTGCATACTGCTTGCTGCTGATGCCCACAGTGGGGGAAAACACGACGACAGCTTGGACAGAAAATGCAGATTTGCATTTGCAAGTTGTTCCAGCAGCCAGTTTTAGTTTGCATCGTGAACTCGCTGGAAGTTGGACGGCAACCAAGGAGACAGAGTGGGCAACAAGTAGAAGGCAAAGAACTGCACAACACAAACCTCCTCCTGCAGGAAAACAGTGCTGTGAAAAAGAGGCACAGCTGCAAGAAAATTGGGCTGAGTAATGAGGGCTGGGAAAGGCACAGCCAAACCGTGCTGGGGGGTTTTGCCATGCAGTGTTGGTGATCACCTTCACCTCTGCATGACTTACAGATGCCAGGACCAGTTCTTCAGAAACCTGCTGTGTTTTTTGCAACTGCTGCATCCAGGCTGGTAAGAAGAGCCCTGTGCAGCTGGTGGCATCGGCCTGCCACAAAACAAGACCTGTGCACTGGCAAAGAGGTCGTCAAGGTGCTACGTGCCAGTCCCACCTGAGGAATGTTCGATTCAGCAGGAATCCCCCACCGCTGATGCCAAGAATGAAGCATCTGGAAAAACACCGCGCCAACTTTGGCTCCAAAACGCCTTCTCCTATCTGGTGATTGCATTCTCAGGCAGCCTCACCAGCTCCAGCACACTGCCACCATCCCATTCCCTGCAGGCCGGGCATTGTGAGGACAGCTTTGTTTGGAGTAGCTGACATTTGCTGACGCTTCCATTCCTGGTGACGCCAATGCAGTTTTCCATCCCGGCCTGTTTGTGGCTGCTGTTCAGAGCTGAAGTAAACAGCAGCAGCCCCGTGTTTACAGCTGCACGCTGTGCCTTTCGCTGCTGCCACATCACAAGGCAGTGTGCTGGGGTCATGGGAAATGTCCGTAGCTTTGAGAGCTTTGAGGGGCATTAGGTTGTCTGGAGGATGCCCAGGGATTAACGTGAGGGCATCGTATCTTGGAGGTGCTGGCAGTTCTTGGAAAGGAAAGAAGAAAATGAGGAATCTGACCTTCAGAAAAGCTCATGTCTCCCATCACCTCTGATCATCACCATGGTTTTCCCACAATACCAGAGTGCTGGGTGATGAACTTTACACTAATCATTGCATTTTGTATCAGGATGCTCAAGGCAAAGTGCTGAGCTCTTATAAGCATAATTTACCACTTACAAAGGGGCTGAACTGTTCTGAAAACCATATCCAGATTATGGATTTCAAATACTAGAGCTCTTAATCCAGTTTCTGGGCTCATCATGAATGGAAATGAGCCATTTTTGGAAGGGAAACTTGGCCAAAGCTTTCCTCCTCTGCTGTAGGAGTAGAAGCTGCACTCACTGCTGACACCAACAGACCTATACTGGAGATCAACAAAATCTGTTCCCAAAGCACCAAGTCATGCATCAATGGGACCAACGTGCACAAACACCTTTGTCTCTGCAGAACAAGGAGCTCAGCTCTCCTCTCCACACAGTGTCACATCATCACACTGGTCTTAGTGTCAATTGGGATGCTCTTCCCCCATTTGCACTTCGCGAGAAGAAAAACAGATTTGAATCATAGGATCAAAAATAAGCCTTTTCTAACAATAGCTCTATTTCAGTAGCATACTCACTGCCCATCCAAAACAAAATCTGTTTGCTGACCGGTAAGCTCTCTCCTGCACAGCTATCCCCCACTGCTCTTCTCTGGCAGCCTGGCTCTTGAGGTGGCCTTCCTTTGGGAAAACAGGCATTTAGTCCATGCTGTAGTGGCCACATGGTTCCTTGTAACAGCTCTCGTTACCTTCGCTCGAGGGATATCTTCAGGAGCCATAGGAGAGCACGAGAATGGATGCATGGGAACACACAGTGAGCAGAGTTGTTCTCCCATCCCAGACCTGGCGGTGCCCAACATGCAGAGGTGCACAGTGCAGGACAGCGCTCCAAGGCCACCCTTTTCTCTTTAGCTTAGCACCATCTAGAGGGATGTGCCTGCACAGCCGGGACAGCGGGACACACCAGTTCTACGGCACGCTTTGGGCAAGGGGCAACGCCTACCTGCATTAGTTTTGGAGTGGGGGAAACCAAAGGCTTGGTAAGCAAAGCTTTGGAAGAGAAGCTCAACCCTCCAGCTCTCCTTGCTAAAACACAAAGCTGTGTTGCAGCCATTCGCTCCTGTCCTGTCAAAGCCTCTGTGATGGGAGGATGTGTCCTCCAGAAGGGAGTGATGGCTGTGGGTTTGGGGCAGGACTTGGGGCAGCAGCAGGAGGATGCGTAGGGTTTGGATTTTTTCCTTGACTTGAATTTTACCACACTTACAGATCTTGCATCACGCATTCCTGGAGGCTCCAGTGCTGTCTGGTGATGTGATGGGGAGTTATTATTAAGCATTAAGAGCAAAGATCGTGGCGCATGCTTTTAAGAGTTGGAACTTGATGATCCTTGGGGTCCCTTCCAACCCAAACCATTCTGTGATTCACATTCATTCATGCCCTTGCTTTTCACTGGCACTGCACAAAAGCACAGCAGGGCTCCCACTGATGTAAAGCTCTCTGTGCCAAATTACAGCTTTCAGCCCTGTGCATCAGAGCTTTCTCAAACCTCCCAACATGAAACACCGGAACAAGACCATGTGATGTTATCTCCTTTCTATCTCACACCATAAATCTTGCACTTTCTTCCGCAGCAGCCCAGGCCATGGGTTTGCAGTGCTGTGAGATGCAGTGCCTGCTTCCCATTAGCCCCGAGGCAAGGTCATTGAGGTAGGAGCTCAGTTCATTGAGGAGCAATTGGAGATAGGAAGCACATTGCTCCGGCCTAAGGAAACAGGATTCAGAATTCACCTGGCTCTTGGGTCTGTTCAGCTTCCAGCTCCCCATGCTTCAAACACACCATGGAGCCATATTCCACCCCCACAGGAGGAGAAGGAACCGGGCTGCAGGGATGCAAAAATGCAGAGGAGAGTGAGGCAGGCAGGCTGGGAAGGACAGCTTTGCTGAGCCCCAGAGAAAATGGTTTGAGTAATTATCAGTGGTAAGGAAACCTCAAGAGAGCATAAGTGGGATTTCTGCATGGCAAATACGCTGCATATTTTATGGCCTCAGCTTGTCTGGGGAGAAAGTCTGATCATGGAGTGGCTTGAATCACAGCCAGGATACTGGCCCAAGCACCACTCCTTCAGCCCATTAGATGAACTCCATTTCTTCTGTTCCTTTTGGCTGCACCCTATCACAGACTCGGCATCTCCTGGCAGACTCTCCCAAGCAGGGCTCCCATCTCATGGGGGTGGGCTCTGGGCAGCATGGGGAGGGCCGTTGGTACAACCCCTGTGATGCACTGCTGCCATTCACCAACTGTTGTCCCCTTCCCCTCAGCCCAAAGCTACATGGCCCAGAAATTGGGAACTCTGTGCTGCCAGCAGCATCGAGTGCCACCGCTCAGCCCCATGGAGCAGCCCACAGAGTGATTTATTCTGGGGCAAAAAGCAGGGCCATGCAGCCATACCCCACTGTGGCACTGATACCCCCCGAGCAATGTCTTTCTAGGAGGACCTTTGTGACTTCACATCACCTGGCACTCTGCTGGTAACAGAATGCACTGCCATGTACCAGGGAGCTGTGTGCCTGGGGGTCCTGTAAACTCTCCAGAATATCACATTTCCCATAGAATAACAACTGTATCCTTGGGAGGGGGGAAGGGATGTCTCTCATCACTGATGTTTTAATTACGAGCACAGGAAGGAAAAGTGAGGCGTTAACCATCTGCCTTGCAATAAGGCCAGAGCACGGTAGGTGCTGGGGTGCATTAGCAAGAGGAATCAAACTCCTTCTTTGATTAAAGCTAAGTTTTTCTCAATGCTTAACACCCAGTTAATTGCTAGGTGCTTACTGCAATTAGGGAAGCTGTCTCAGCTACCAGTAACGAAGGGTCCATGGCAGCCCCCTGTCGCTGTGGATAAGAGAGGCTGCATCCATCCCTGCAGACACCACAGACCTCCCTGGGGATGCCATGTCCCTCACTGGGATGTGCGGGCAACAGTGGTGTCCAGAACACAGCATGGGAGCTGCTGAGCTTTGTCTCCTCCTCAGGCTCTGCTGGAGAGTCCTGTGCTCTAAGCCTGGCCTGATTCCCTCATGCTGACCCAGCAGGAGGTTTTCCAAGCAGCACTCCATACCAAGAAGCACTTCACGTGGCTAATGCACAAGCCATTGCATCCCAGCAGTGAATCCAATTTGTATACTGTGAAAACAAACTGTGCTCCCACTGACTTTGCATTCAGACTGCTTCCAAGAAGGTAAAATCAGCCAAAGCACAGAGTCTGAGAGCCTGGTTCGTACCACCCCTGTGCACAGCGAACCGGTGACACCCCGCTGCTATGGCTTGTGGGCTTACAGCACAGCAGTAACGAATGCATGGCAAGTTTGCATGCTTTATTAGAGTCCTATTTCCACTCCTTCTTCCAGAGTCCGGGATGAGTGGTGACAGCCTTCTCTGCCTCTTCACACTGCTGTTCTTGCCCTTCAGCCCCCCGCAGCCCTCTGCCCGGCAGCCAGCAGCGCCCTGTGCTGAGCACAGAGGCTTGGATGAACTGGCATGGGCAGGGCACACTGCTGCCCTCCATGTGCCCAGAGAGCACAGGACGGGGCAGCCGGCCACTGACCAGCAGCCGCACGTAGCAGGCACTGAAGATCACCAGGAGCTGCTGGGCCATCACCTGGAACGAGCACGAGCGGGTCAGTGTCTGCCTCATTCAAACACTGCTCTTGTCCAACAGAATCAGGACAGAAGCCAAGGACGGATACATAACTGTTCCACATCCCCTTCTGCTCAGCAGCGCTGTCACGCTGTCCCCAGGACAGTGACATGCCAGGCTGGGGGCAAGCAGCAAGGCCAGCCCACGGCTGGGATGGAGTGGCTGGGAGCCAGGCTGCTCGGGGACCCTCCTGTTCTGCCATCACCTCCTCTTGGGTGTTGTTTTTTTTTTGCCATCAGATGGCTGGAGAGCTTCTACCAACAGGGATGTCACCTGCACTAAATTCATTTAGTAACAGCAAGCAGAAAACTGAGAAATAAATCAGAATAATCTCTTTTGAAGCTTCTTGCTGAGTGGAAATGAGGACACATTTGTCACTCAGCATGGCACGAGTGTTTGAGGGCATGTTCCATGGAAGAGCTGAGGGGTCAGCATGGCCATACTTGGCCCAGACATGGGCACCAGGTTCTAGCAGACATCTACTTCCAAATAGGGTCCAGAAGGAAACGTCTGGCCAGTAACAGACAGCATCAAGGCCATAAACATGAACTGCTTAGTACTGTCAGGACTGGATAAGACATGAGGGGACCTCTAGGTCTGCAGCTGTTCTACCCCATAGGTGATGTTTACTGGGACGAGCTTTGGAGGCAATCTGCCCAGGAGGTGCTCTGCCCATAGGAGGGTATTTGTCATTACCTCTGGGGGGCCCTCAGGGATGAGGTGGAGCAGCTCATTGCACATCATGGACTCTTTCTTGAAGCTCTCCCCACCGGATAGGAGAGGTGATTCCTCGCACAAAGTGTCCTCTGCTGCAGGAACAGCCACCTCCATCACCACACAGAGCTGGTCCAGCCTGTGCCGCCAGCCCAGCTGCAGGAGAAGGACAGTTTGGGGGATGCAAGGAGACAAAGAACATGATTTCCTACCAAAACTATCCTCCCAGGAGTCAAGAAAAGTACAAGATCTGGGGGTTGTACCCCCTCACCTCCTGTCCTACAGCCACAACTGGCCAGTAGAGTTTAGATATCTATGCACCCACAAAAAGGAAGAGACTTTCCGAAGGCCAAGAGGACGAAATTCCCATCCAGGTACCCAGTGCGGTGCTTATTTTTTCCTCAGGCTATCTCATTATTTCAAGAGGACAGCTCAAGGTGTCAGCTATTTCAGACAGTAACACCTGCCTTCAGCATTTACCCTTGGCGACTTTGCTTTACTGAAAGTTGCGCAGTCGATCACCCAGCTATGCTCACACCACAGGTCCTAAATAAATTCCTGCCGCACTGGGCACCAGTTGATGCAGTTTGTCCACCTCCCAGTTTGCCCAGCTCCCGGTTTCCAGCACAGACAGGCCATAGGGTGGCCGTGCCACCACAGGCTGTGCCTGCTGTCATTTACCTCTTGTGCCTGCCGCAGCTCTGTGATGTGGGCTGACAGGGACTGAAGGCAGCGCTCGGGGCTGAAGTGCACAAACCACAGCTGGGACGAGCAGGTTAAGAATCATAGAATGGTTTCAGTCAGAAGGGATCTTAAAAGCCATCAGGTCCTACTCCCTGCAGTGCACAGGGACACCCACAGCTCCAGCAGTGCTCTGAGCCCCAACAGCCTGACCTTGGCTGTCTGCAGGGATGGAGCATCACCAGCCCTCTGAGCAACCTGTGCAGTGCCTCACTGCCCTTACTGTAAAAAACTTCCTTATATCCAATCTAAATCTCCTCTCCTTTAGTTGGAAACTATTTCCCCTTGTGTCACAACAGACCCTGCTGCTTCCTGAGAGCAGAGACACTTAGATGCTGCTGGCTTAGCTCCTCTCTGCAAGGAACAACACAACTGGGACTCCACTTTTCTGTGGTTTGTTTGTTTGTTTTTGCCATAGGCACACTGCTGTGATTCTCATAATAAGACTCATCATTGCCATGTAAACGTAATACAATTTCAGGAATAATTGTCTGCCCCAAGGACTAATTTCACTTCAGTCGTTTAGACTCTTCCCAGTGGCCTTTGGGTATATCTTAATGCCTACGGATGGGAGAAGAAAAATACCCACTTCTCCACGCCATCCAATAGGAAGAAAACAACCTTAGAAATCCCACCCTGTGTAAAGCCTTATGGATCACTACATCAATAAACATTCTCCCTATCACCGAATCACAGTGTGGTTGGATTGGACCTTAAAGATCATCAAGTTCCAACCCCACCGCTATGGGCTGTTTGCCCCTCACCAGATCAGGCTGCTCAGGGGCTAGGAAAAATTCTGCACAGAAAGGATACTTGTAGGATGCTGTGTGGCCCATCCAGGACATCAGTAATCCCCAGAATTAAGCTGTGTTTGATAAAGAATTCATTGACAGCTGCCAGCCGCACGTCTGTATTCATATTTATCTAGGAAAGAATGCAGGAAAAAATAACTTGCTCTGTGGCAAAACTTGGCCCAGCTCAAGGCTGCTCACCACTGTGGGAGGGGGAGCTGTGCAATGGTTGCTTTTTCCCAGCAACAGCAGGTGCTTTGAGCATCCCTTTCTTACTTTCACACATACTTTCTAGGCATTATGACACCCAGCTACAACATCCCTTGCCTGAACCAGATCTCTGAGCCTGCTCTAAAAATACTCTGTCCTCCCCCTGCTAACCATCATCCCCATATGTATCTAGGAGATAGAATCATAGCATCGTAGCATGGCTTGGATTGCAAGGGACCTCAAGGTCATCAAGTTCCAATCCCCTGCCACAGGCAGGGCCACCAACCTCCAGATCTGGTACTAGAGCAGGTTGCCAAGGGCTCCATCCAACCTGGTCTTGAACACCTCCCAGGGATGGAGCATCCACACAGAATCATTAAGATTGGAAAAGATTCCTAAGGGCACCAAACGCAATCCCAACCCATCCCCACTAACTGTGTCCCTCACTGCCACATCCCCACGGTTCTTCAGTGCAACACCTCCAGGCATGGTGACTCCACCACTCCCCGGGCAGCCCGTGCTGATGCACCACTGCTCTTCTGGAGAAGAAAAGATTCCTAACATCCAACCTGAACCTCTCCTGGCACAACTGAAGGCCATCACCTCTCATCCTATCGCTGCTACATGCGAGAAGAGGCCAATCCCCACCTCACCACAACCTCTTTTCAGGGAGTTGTACGGGGCAGTAAGGTCTCCCCTGAGCCTCCTCTCCTGCAGACTGAACAATTCTCTCAGACATTCCTCATCAGATTTGTGCTCCAGGTCCTTCCCCAGCCCTCCTTTGGACATGTACCAAAGCTGCAGATCCCAGCACTTCAGTGGGAGGGAACTCATTCCCCACGCTCCCTGGGTCAGCTTACCTTTCTCTGGCGGTGGTCGATGACCAGGATCACAACCACAGTGACAGCCACAGCAGCCAGAGTCACCAGCACGCTGGCCTCCCAGTAGTGCCCAAAGGAGCAGAGCTGGACCGTGGTGTAAATGTTTATCCAGAGAGACATGTAGAAAATCTGTGAGAGCCCAGAGAGATGGATGGCTCTTGTAAAACTTCAGAAGAGAGAGAAGTCAAGGGAAGAAGAGACCTTGCCATAAATTAATTGAGTCGTCTGGGATATTCGGAGAGTGAGGGAGGGCATGAGCTCTTTGCAATAATAAATCAAGGAGAGAGGGGTCTAGAAGGACTGAGAACTAGTTTATCATCAAAAGTTACCAATCATCAAAGACAAACTGAATTATTAATGATGATTCATATCTAGGAACGTTTTCAGTTGTGTTCTTCCATTCAGATAAGCTACGCACTCACTGAGGAATATGGATAACGCTTGTGATAGTCCCTCTCTTTTGGAAGCTCCTGTGTCAGAGCACTCAGGGTGGTGAAGGGAGATGGACACTGGGCTCAAGGGGGATGCTAAGGACTATCAAACTCAGCCTTTCCATTAAAAACAAAGCAAAAGACAGGAAAATGGAGGGAGCGCCCAGCATCCTTACCAGAGCAATGGCTATCTGGAATGCCCTGGAGTTGTAGAAGAGGTATCGCCTCACTTCGGGCTTCAGGACTGCCTCCTCGATCAGCCTCCTCCATTCACCCGCTGCCGCCTGCTCAGGGAACCAGGAGCAAGAATCATGGATTGCCTTGAGTGGGAAAGGACCCAAAGGATCACAGTGTCCAACTCCCAGCTCCACGCAGCACTGCACAACCCTACGGCCTCCCTGAACTCCAGAGCCGTGCCCACTGCCCTGGGAGCTGTGCAGCCCCCACTGCCCTTTGGGGCACAGCCATTCCCCAACCCCACCAGGCCCTCAGCTCCATCAGAACAGCGCTGACAGGTCTGGTGGGGCCCAGCCTGCCTTGCAGACCCGGTGTGTGCAGAGGGCACAGGCTCAGACTCCAGCCTCATCCCTACGGCTGTCATTGACCAGAATGCTGCATGCTTCATTTGCAGTGAGCTATGTCTCCCTGCAAAGGGCAGGGAAAGTCATAAGAGAAAAAGCTTGTTTTTATGGCAAAGGACAAGACGAGACAGATTGTCCCAGGGATGTTCTAGCACATTGGAGTGCTTTCATGCTCTTCAGCTGTACCTGCGCTGAATGGGTTTCTTCACGGAGCTTTAAGCCAAGGTGATTACAGTTGTCTTGAAGTCAATGAGGAATAGACTGAAGTTAAACTGAAACAAACCAACTTCACACCCCCCAAAAAAACCAAAAATCTTAAAAAAGCTCTCTATGATCTGGGTGCAAACAGTGTCAACCCAGCCAGCATTCACTCCAATGGGCCGCCAGGGGGGATGACAGGTGAGCAGCTTACCTGAACCCCAAGGGACTGGAGTTTCTCTGCACAAAGCTCCATGTCGAAGGAGGCAGATGAGCAGGTGTTGTCCATGCTGAGAACCATGAGCACCTGGCCATTGCGGGGTTCTGCAAAAACCCAGAGAGGTCAGCAGCATAGCTTTGGCATGAGTTTAATGCCAGCAGCTCAGAAGCCTGTGCTGAAGGGAAGGCTGAAAACACAGACTGCCACGGCGTACTTCGAATGGATGGCATTCCCCTAGAGCTTACACAAGCTGAGCTATGCCAACAGGAAGAAATGAGGGCCAAGAAAGTGGTGTTTTCACATGAGCTCCTGTTTCACTGGCACATTTCATCCAGCTTTCCTTTCTCTCTGTAGCTCTGGGGATAGCTCATGACTTGGGGCTGCTTCTATGGCACAGCACAGTGCTCCCCCAGGCTGCTGTGCTGGCCCAAGGGCAGCGTGCACTCCCTTTTTCCTTCTGTCCTGCTTTCATCCTCTATCCTCATCATCTCTTCACTGCTCAGGTACAGAAGGTGCCAAGTTAACTGAGGCAATTGCATTACAGTAGGGTGTGACTGCCTCAAGTCAAGAAGGGAAGATGCATCCAGAATCTCCAGGATAATAATGTCCTACTTTTCATGCTGAAGTTAATCCCCAGATTTAGCAGTGGAGGTGATGAGTATGAAGAAAGAATGAAAACAAATGGCCTTAGCCCTTGGGATGGGCTCTCCTGTTCTCCATGGCTTTGGTTGAGGTGCTTCGCATAAGACTATGCCAGGACACCAAGCTCAGATACCCAAAATATGCAGAGGAGCTCAGGTTGTGACCTCTGCTGGAGCAACAAGAGCTGCTTCAGTGCTGTGAAAGCAGAGCACAGGAGGTGCCACGAACAGAACTGCTGAATACAGTGCAAACAAGGCCATCCATGGCACTGCTTCAGAGGCACTGCTGCAGAGGCAGAACTCAGTTAATGGGGAGGAGAGGCACTCAGAAAGCACAGGTCAAGCTTCCCAAAGATTTCTTCACTTGCAAAGAACAATTTAAGGTTTTGCTTGGCGCTCTGCTCAGCGCTGCATTCCTCAGTCACCAGCAAGCTCAGAGACCCGCAGAACAGCTGAAGTTGGAAGAGAATCTTGAAGGACTTTCCGGTCCAACCCTGCTCACTTACCTTGCACCCACTGCGGGGATCCTTCCTTCGAATCACTCTTACAATACAGGACGGAGGAAAGCGAGCTGTTTTTCTCAATCCCACCATCCTGGCTTTTATGGGCCATGCTGAAGGCACCGCTCCTTAAGAACTTTGTGCCGTATCGTCAGCAATTCAGCGTTTCTTGGATCTCCCTTATCTCACAGCACCAGGCAGCAAGCAGCTCGCTCTCCTCACCGGGGACCAGGCTGTGAAATCCTCACTCAGACTCCCACTGGTGACTTCCTGGAGATTCTGCTTTCCATGAGCATGGCAGCATTTTCTAGCCCCGAAAAGAGGAAGGAGAAGAATTCAGAAATCTTGCAGAGGCAGCAAATAAAGGATGACAGCGCTGAGCTCTCTGATATTACCACCATGCAGGTGCTAACAGTGCAATACGCACAGGCTTTCCTCTTGCTTATTTGGATTACAGGAATACCCTATCACAGGAAGGAAATGGTGCAGATAAGGAAGAACTGTGCACCCGCCCAAGCAGAGGAGAGCAGCAGCAGAGCAGGAAGCAACATGGGGAGCTCTGCTCATCTTCACCCCCACAGCAGCTGCCGTTCCCAAGGGTTTTCCAGGGAATGCTGCAAGGATCTGCGGGTGGTTATGCAAACCAAGTGCATGGAAGGCTTTGAAGTTTACTTATCTTCCATTCTTGCAACTCTGCTGACAAAGCTATCATTTAATTTTAAGCTTAACTCCACCTTTTTGCACCAGGAGGTTGGTTTGGGGATCCCTCGTCACAGAACAGTTGAGGTTGGAAGGGACCCCTTGGGATTACCCAGTCCAAACCTCCTGCTTCAAGCAGTCAAATAGAGCACACTGCCCAGGATCACATTTCAGCAGCTCTCCTTCCAAAAGGACCGCTGCTTTTTTTTGTTACTCATGGTTGTTGCTGCAATCACCCCTTTGCACAAAGCCAGGATAGCCTGGACTATCAGACAGGAAATTGAGGCAAGGGAAGCAAAACAAAAGGTTTGTATGGTTGCAAAGAAGGAACAAAATAACTGCAAAGGCTGGAAACTCAACACTTAAAGAAGCCAAACATGGTGCACTTTGCATAAGAGGTGCGTGTTGTGCACAGAGATGGCCTCAGCACCCACTCAGTGCTGGAGACAGAAGGGAAGCCTAATTACAAGCTGTCACATTAAGTTAGAGCTGAAGCAGTGCCCTCTGTCCCAGGCACCCATGCTGAGTTCTGTGGGAGCATCCAGGGCAGCTCTACAGCTACAGCCTTCCCCAGCACAGCCGAGCCCAGAGACAACAGCAGCATTGCTTTAAGCCATTTGTGCAGCACAGACCTCACTTGGCTCCATTGCCTCTTATAGCTTCCGTGCATGGAGCTTGGCCCCTCAAAGCCTTCCCTGCCTGCGCTCCCCAGGGCTCTGCATCTTTGTGCACCTCTTATTTTAACACAAAGCCGTTCCCTTTGCCTCCTTGCCCCTACAGACCTCTCCAAGCCCCAGCCAACCTAGCCCCATTGCTGCGTCCTCACTACGGAGAGCCCACCGGAGCCATACCTCATCCAGCCGTGCTCCTGGGGTGCAGACTCTGCTCCCTCCTCCTCCTCACTGCCCCGCACCGCCCATCACTGTGCCCTGCAGGTTGGGGAGGTCCCACTGCTGGGATGCACAGCGCAGGCGAGCGCCCGCAGCTCTGCGCTCCCATCACCCCGCGCCACAAGCACTGACTTGCAAAACCTCCCCGTGCATGTGACTTTTCCCCCGGGCTCATTTCAGAGCTGTGGTTTTTTTTAACCCTCTAGAGTTTCTCTAGGCTGTTTCCCCATCGGGGAGAGACTCCGCTGCAGGAGCTCAGGTTGCTTTTTGGAGGGTAAGGGTCCACAGCTGGACTCAAGGAGGGCTTTGGATGGAGCAGTGGCACAGTTGAAGGCTCTGCTCTTCCTTCTCCATCAGCCAGGGTTCAGTGAGTACACATCCTGAAGCTGCATCAAACGAGCCGTGGTGAATACTTGAGCCAGTGCCGTGCATCAGCAGCGGGGCTGGAGGAATCCGAAGGGGTGAGCAAAGATCTCCAGGATGATGTTGTGCAAATGGTCACAGCAAGGCACAGAGGTAACGGGGTGGGAACTGCAGCCCAGCTCTCAACAGGAGGCTGCTCTGATACTGAGGGAAGAGAAGGTTTCCTGCTGGCTACTGTGCTCCAGAGAATGGAAGCAGGATGGGATTCACAGCCAGATGGACCTTCCCAAAGCACTGTGGTTTCTAGGCCAAAAGAGACAGGTTTGGGGGAAAGCATAAGAGAGAAGGCTGGGGTGCACCTTCCTGGGGCTCACAGAAAAGCTGGAGGGAACCCGAAAGCTGGGAATTCAGTCAGTCAAATATCAGAGCAACTGCTAGTGAACAGTTAAAAAAGAGTAACAAATCCTGCCATGCTTCACTGTGCCGTGTGTGCACACTTCCTGGAGAAAAGCCCGCTCCGCTTCGGGAGGGCTGAACTTCTGCAATCCTTCTGGCTCCAGACATTGCTGAGCAAAGTGTTCATTAAATCACGTGGCTGCACGGCGAGCAGCACTGCCTTCAGACCGCTGATCCACACGAGATATCATTTCCCTGGGAGCTGGTGGCTCACACATAGCATCACCCAGGTGGTGAAAATATCAGACCCATCTTCTCACCGGCGTTGGTAGCTCGAGGCTCAGCTCCCATCCCCACCCATACCAAGGCTGCATTCTTCTCAAGCACTCTTCACCAGATCTGGCTTTGCTTCCTCCTTCTTGCCCACGCACGGTAGAATTGGGTGATCCAAGTGCTGGGAAAGAGCACCATCATCTCCCTGCAAAGCGCCTGAGGCACAGCTCAGCGAGGGCAACAGGCTTGGGAGCAGCTGCCCTCATTACCTGCTCACACGCACCCCTGGCTGAGCAAGGAGTGTCTCTATGCGTGCGCTGAGCTTGGCTTCACCCTGTTGTACCAACACAGCCAACCCTGCCAAGGTGGGAGGGGGCAAAAAACAACCCAAGTGCAGCTGTTCTGCTGAGCTCTGCAGCCATCCAGCTCCCTGAATGCGCTCATCTCACTGCAGAACAGCCAATAAAGCATTCAGTGAGTCATCTATTTCAATCAACAGCCTGTATATTTCATACTCGGCCTTGACAACAATCTAGGCATTGCACAGATGTCCTGTAACATTCCTGTTCCTCCTATTAATGGTCCCACCAAAACTTTAGCGCTAAGCAGCCAGGAGATAGAAATTCAGCCCTCTGAATTATGAGGAAAGGTTGAGGCTTGTTTAGTTTGGAGAAGAGGAGGCAGCAGGGAGACCTCATTGTGGCCTTCCAATATTTGAAAGGAGCATATAAACAGGATGGGCTACAACTGCTTCTAAGGGTGGATGGTGATAGGAAAAGGGGAATGGTTTTAAAGTGAGACGGGGAGGTTGAGGTTGGATATTAGGAGGAAGTTTTTCCCCCAGAGGGTGGTGAGGCACTGGCACAGGTTGCCCAAGGAGGCTGTGGATGCCCCAGCCCTGCAGGCATTCAAGGCCAGGCTGGATGTGGCTCTGGGCAGCCTGGGCTGCTGGTTGGCGACCTGCACACAGCAGGGGGTTGGAACTGGATGAGCATTGTGCTCCTTTTCAACTCAGGCCATTCCATTACTCTGTGAGAGCAGCACCAATTACTGCAGTTACAAAGCAAACACAAAGTCAATCAGTAAACTAGGAAGGCGTTTGGAAAGCTAGGAACAGGAAGAAGAAATCAGGAACTCTGCCTGTAAAGCAGACGGGGGGTGCTGGCAGCATCCCAGCAGTGCTGCTGCTGCACGGAGCACAGCTGACAGCCTGTGGAGCTGCCCCACCTGCAAAGCAAGGAGCAAAGCCCTGCAAGTAGAGATCTGCCAAAGACGACCACAACGAATCTCTTCCTCACCTCCATCTGCCACAAGACATTTGCATTGCTGTGCTGTGACAACTCCATTTCAAAAATAAAGCTTTGGCCAGTTCTGTGTCTGGGGGGGGTTTACCCAAATTTTCACAACCTGTACAGAGGTTATCAGCTGCTCCGTGCTCTTCGTTTCACTTTTAGTTCAGTTTTGCACTTCTCTATTTCTGGGAGTTCCACGCTGTCCGTTTTAGATCATTTAGCCCTTTTCTCAAGATCATTTTAAATTGTAATTCAATCCTTTGTGCTGCTTATTTCTCTTCCCAGCTTGGTGTCCTGGAAATATAACTGTACTCCCTATTCCATCGCGCTGCATTAATGAATACATTACAGAGAACCCGATTCCAGGAGTGCTCTGCTTGCAAACAGCAGCTGCAGTCCCTGCCATGCAAGTTGCAGCCGTGAGCAGTAGCCAACACAGCAGATCTCCTTCTATTTAATGAAACTGCATTTTCAGCAGGTAGCTGCTCCGTCAGTTTGTTGTTGTTTGGTATTTTTCCCCCAATGAGCCTTAATTAGGTGAACAGAATTGCTGAGAGCCTCGTCTTGCCTTTCCCCTCTCCCTGCGCACAGCCTTCTTCTGCAGGCTGCGTTTTGTCAGGCAGCTCAGCAAAGCTGACAGATCTGACAGTCATTAAATGCAAAGTCTCCATTTCACAATATTCCTAAAATACATGTTTCAAATGAAGAAAATGACACTTGCATAAAGTGTGGCTCTTTTCTTTCTGCCTTATTCCTGTGGAGACTTCAAGCACTCTGCTTCTTTCTATTATGGTAATGCAAAATCCTTTTTCTTATGCTTCGAATTTAAGGAAAAAAAAAAAAACAATAAAAAGAATGCTTGCTGTGTGCCTTGGATAACGATTTGGCTATTGATTCAGCAGATGCTTTATTAGATTACTTTGCAACAGCCAAATGTAATTTAATACCTATTTATTTTCTATTCCTATGCCGGTCTGAGATACAATCTTTTCTGCATGAAATTAGTGTTGTCTCCTTTCAGCCTCAAAGAAAGATGAGACTCACCTTTTTTTCTTGGAATATTTTGAACTGCTTTTTTACAGTAAGATGTTGATCTTGAGGGTTCTCAATAGACTTTTCTATTGAGACCTGCAAGCCAAAACCTCAGCTGGAATCAGGTGATTCAGGTTTTCCCATCTTAATCTGCAGCAGTGCAAGAACCCCTGGTGGTGGGCAACAACTGAAGACCACAGTCCACCTGCCCACAGTTGCTACTGCCCAATTCCTTCCAGTTTGCCTGTCCCACACAGGAGGTTCTCTATCTGGAGTACCATAGAACGGCCTGGCTTGAAAGGATCATCCAGTTCCAACCCCCTGCTGTGTGCAGGTCACCAACCAGCAGCCCAGGCTGCCCAGAGCCACATCCAGCCTGGCCTTGAATGCCTGCAGGGATGGGGCATCCACAGCCTCCTTGGGCAACCTGTGCCAGAACTCCTGCAACAGGCAGCAGAGAGAAGGAGATGCTGACCTTCAGGCTGAGCACCCCAAGCTGAGCAGGGAGCAAGCTCCATCAGCACAAGCAAGCCTTGAAAATTGAACTCAGGCTTCAAGCAGCACAAATGTGTGTCCTAATTGCACCTCGTACTGCAATGTTAAGCTGTCCAGACGACGCTGGTATTTCAGTGCTAATAAACCATTTGTCCATCTGGTGCTTTCCCCATAGTACAGATGACAGATCTTCTCAGCGATGTTTTAGAAATGAAAAACATCAACTATTAATGTAGGCCTGCATGATGTCTGTATGGGAACTGCTGAATCACAGCCTGAGCCTCTGATTGATCACCTGAGGCGAGCACCAAGTCAGCCCTGGGAGAGCAGGTGAAGGCAACTCACCTGTGCTGCTGGAAGGGACGGAGCCTGGCTGCACCTCTCCTAGACCCATTTAAGAGCTGACTGCCAGTGGGGAAGGATCTCTGCTGGAGATCCCTCCTTTGGAGTTTTACAGCGAGCCCAGGACATGGGTAAGCACTCTGTCTGTTCTTTTTTGGTATAATAACTGCTTAGCCAAACTCTCTGCTACATTTGATAATTGTAACATCTGTACATTCATTGATTATACAATGTCTGAAAAGGAATCCTACAAAAAAAATCCAAGTACTGACCGTTGCTTATGAACCTCAATGTGGCCATTAGCAAATCATGCTGTGTTAACCTCCTGACGTGCCCATTTCATCCAAGGAAAATGCTAATCTGAACCATGAGAAAACAGCCAGAGTTACCCACTTGATCCTGCATGACCAGAACAGCACATGCACTGAATGCTCTTTACCTCCATACAGCACCAGGACTGAGCAGGCAATTTGTCCATATTTCCAGGGATGAGAACTCAAAGTAAAAGAATCAGTTTTATATATGCTTAAAGCAGCTTCTGGGCCCTTTTTGAGGTACAAGGGCAAGCTCCAACTCCTTACACATAGGGTGATCTGCATTTAGGGTCACATCTGCCAGGGACAACGCAGTCAGAGCAGCAGTGGGACTCTGGAGGCAGATCTGCACTAGCAGCTAGGATAGGCCTCGCCCTTCTTAACCAAATTTGTTGCAGAACAGGAGGAAGCTGGAAACATCAGACCATAGAGGTAAGAAACCGAGCAACTCCAGACCTCTGCCAGCATGACATTGTTCCCCACAGAGCATTTTCAGCACAGTCTGGCTTGGGCACATAAGGTCTCCTTTCCCACTACGCCTCACTGTAAGATTAAAGAACTTCTAACTAAGAACTAAAGCAACTTATCTAGATCACAAAGCCAGATTTCCCAGTGAGAAGCAAATGGAAATGCTTTTGTGTGAGTTTACACAGCCAGGTAATTCTCAACAGGTAAATTTCAGGGAAGCATTACAGAAAATTGATGTTCTTGCAAGCATTGAAACTTCTGCATGTTTCAAAGGGAAGGTCCTCACGTGCTGTTTTGCCAGCGAGGGAATAATCTGGGGAGAATTTTACACATCCTTTCCTTCTGGATCTTCCTCACTGCAGAGGGTAAGAACAGAAAGTGCTCATTTAACAGAGGGAAGCTTATGAACTGTGAGGAAGTGGAGGCACGCGCTGTGCTTGTTGCAGACAAAGCAAGTCTCCTTTTACTGATAAACAAACAGGATGAAATTGCTAATTACAGCCTGGAGCTACCAGGACTTTCACAAAGCACCAATGTGCTGCAGCCTGACCACCTGTTCTCAACAGGAGGAACTGCTTCAATTCCAAAGGACAGACTAGAATTAGCATGGCTGCAACCTTTTATGAGGCCACAGCCCTTCTCTGGCCGTCAGATGAATCTGATTAAAAGTGCTTTGATTCTGCTCTCCTTGCACAGACCTGGCGTGTTCCCAGCCTGACAGATTCTACTTCACAGGAGCTTTTGATTCACTTTTACAACCCATTTAATAGCCTCAATTCCTAAAGAGATCCTTTAAGAATTGGAGTATGCTAACATAAAATATGCTAACATAAAAAACCAACAGGAGACAACACAGCGTTCTCTTTTGTAGCACAGCACGACTGCAGGCAGATACTTGTTCCTCTGTTAAGACTTCCATCCATCCTGCTTTCCTCCCTCCCAACTGCAATCTTACCCTGCGGGTCTGAGAGGCTTTTCAGTGCTGCACTGAAGGTCTGCAAAAATCCAGGATGTTTTGACTGAGAAACAGCAGCAAGGCTTCCTCCTTAGACTGGCAACTGCATTAATTGCAGCTCTGATCCACTTCGTGCTGGCTGAGGTCTCTACTGTGCAAAAAGTATTAAATTGAACTCAAAAATAAGAAAGCAAAGCTATATTTTAATATTCTGCTGGGACAGAATAAACTGCTGAAACACAAAAGCTCATGATGTATTTGTGTGTATTCTTGATTAAAGAGCTAGGAAGTGAGGCATGGACAGCCCTAACACTTATTTCACACTGTTCTGGGAATAGCAGGATGCTACATGACCTTGGTATAAACAAGCAGCCACCAGGGAAGGATAATTACTGCACAGTGCCTGGCTATCAAACTATACTGTTGAACTGGCAACGTTTTATTTCTCCTAATAGTTCAAAGAACATTTGTTCCTGAAGGCTTTTGGAACAACCTGGCAGGTAAAGCATCAGACTGGAGCCAAGAGGAGGAGATCTGTAATGGATTTTAAACTTACCTGCTGTGACCTTCAGACATTTGTTTTATTTCTTGCTCTCTTATTAATACTTGATATTCATTCTCCAGAGCCCAGACTCTTCATGCAACAGTGAGTCCTGCTGGTACTCTCAGAACAATTGTTACAAGAAGACTGATTAGAGACTTTTGAGTTAAGTAGAGGTTTTTACTTTCAAGTGTCATAGAGCCAGACCTGTAACTCAAGCTAACAGCAGAATATACAGAGGATATTCAAGACAGAGAAACTCAAGCACCTGAACATCATCAGCCAGCACTGTACAGCCAGAGAATTCTTATGAAGTTTAACCTTGCACAAATGCTAACAACACACTGAAAAAATGCATTTTAGTGAACAAGAATACATAGGTCCAGATTAGAG